ATTCCACCCACCCACCTCTCCCTTCCTTCTATCCACCCCACCCTTCCTTCCTTCCATTCACCCCTACCTTCCTTCCTTCCTTCCTTCCTCCTTCCTTCCACCCACCTCTTTTTTCCTTCCATTCACCCCTCACTTCCTTTATTCCACCCACCCACCTCTCCCTTCCTTCTATCCACCCCACCCCTTCCTTCCTTCCATTCACCCCTACCTTCCTTCCTTCCTTCCTTCCTTCCTTCCTTCTATCTACCCTTCCTTCCTTCCACTCGCCCTTCCTTCAAGGGGGAGAAGTTGGTGGGGGCTGAACCCCCCCAGAAAAAAAAATTATACACAGCCCTAATTGGAGCAGGACAAGAATAACTAACTTGAAGAAATTAAATGAAACTATAGTCAGGGCATGGCCTGGATAGCGAGGCGGATGGACGTACACTAACTGAGCTCCGTGATCCCGACAATCTCCATTACGGCACAGCAGACTTGCAATAGTGGCGAAATGGACAAGATGCTTAGACAAGCACTGCAGACCCGCCAGCATCATGCCTCAACATCCTCAGTCCGCAACAGCTCTATTTTTAGAGCCCAGGCATCCTCGAGATCGAGCGCGCTGTTGGCCAAGATAGCACAGGCCTGCCTGCAGGCAGATTACAGTGAAGAATCTCTCTCAGCAGCAGAGGACTCGGTAAAACAAGCCATACCAACTGAGCTTCCTCTTACCTATACTGACATGACTGCCATTGCTGCTGATATCAAAAACACATTTTCTACAGCCATTGACCTCTGTGGAGCGGGCCGGAAAACAGAGGGATAAAGCCATCTTGAGTGTCGAACAACTGACTGATACACATGCCTACCATCTTATAGACATGAACAGATGTATTGAGGACTTGGACAATCGAGGTTGACGCAACAATATAAGAGTGAGGGGCATATCTGAGACGATCCCCCCTGAACAGATCAAACTGGTGCTACAAAAAGTCTTTAACACTTTATTGGAATGGACAGATGACACTATTATTGAGTTTGTGAGGGTGCACAGAGCCTTGCGACCTAAAGGCCTGGTATCCTCTCCCTCGAGAAATATTTTATGTTGCCTACTCAGCTTTTCTCTGAAAGAAGACATTTTAGCAAAAGCAAGAGCTAATGATCAGATTGTCTTTAATGGTGATAATAGTATCTTGTACCAGGACCTCTCCCCTATAACTATCAAAAATAGGAGAGCACTGTGCCTCTTGTTAGAAGTGCTTAGAGAAAAAGGACATGCCTATAGCTGGAAGTTTCCATTTGCTTTAAGAGTGAACTACAACTATAAACCACTTTTACTTTGCACCCCAGATGATTTGCCGTCCTTTTGTGAGACACTTCAACTGCCACTCATTGAATGACCTGATTGGTATATGGAGTTTCGACTCCCCCTAGCAGTGAGAAGTCCTCCACCCACTCCACCTGACTCTCCAATCAAACAACCTACTGAGAGGAATAAACTATCGCAAAATCAGGGGCTGACACCTGGCAGGCTTTCCTTCCATACCAAATCGCCCAAGACACCAAGAATCAGGGACCCATTCTGATTCATATTCAACTTTACATTGGGTCTCATTCACTGCTAGATTTCACTTGCTTGTTCTTTGTTACTTTGACATTTTGGCCTCACCCCCCCACCAGAGGAGCTAAACACATTACTGTGGTGCTCCTGGGGTCATCATTAGACGTGGTTGGGGGGGGAGAGGGGGGATTGGAATGTGTAAGAAGGAGGGGGGTTTGGGGTGTTTTCCCCCTTTTTTTTTTCCTCCCTCAGGTATATCGGTTTTGATGTCCTGCTCCGCTCCTGTATAATATGAAGATGGTGTAACCTTTTACCACACCTTCTGCTTTGTTTATTTGGTGGTCTAGGCCATCTAATGTCTTAGGTCCTTAAATATGGAAATGTGTTCTTCATGGCTGGTATGTGCTAAATGGTGCTCATTTGCACTCTCATTTGGTTTGACCTACACCAAGGATTTTAATGATTGTTGGTTTTGTATTCCGGGGTTTGGGGAGGGGGGGAAATGGGAGGAGTGACTCCCTTCTCTTCTTTCCCCTCTTCCCCCCATGGAGAGGGGGGGATGTTAATATATTGTTCCTGGATTTGTCTGGTTCTAGTTTGAGATGGTTCGCATGACACCATCTGGAAGGCATCAGAATAGGTTTTTTCATATGCTAAGTTGCCATTTTTGGGAAAACTTAAGTTTCACTTTCCTTTTGGTCCTGTAGATAAGTCTTACACTGATTGGAAAAAATGACGCCTTAGTTCCTCCCACGCACCCCACCCAGTAGTGATCTCATCTGCTTGTTGCTACCTGCTACACTGACATTACAACTACAAATTGACATTGCCTTAGATATTGGTTATTGATAGGTGTTGTTTCTTTCTTTGGTCTATATACTTGATACCCTTTGGGTTACTGTGACTACTTATTGTGACTTTTCTGTTTGTTTTGACTAGGTTCATCTTTTTCCCTCTCTCCCCATTTTTCCTTCCCCACCCCTTTTTTTTTTTTTTTTTATTTCATTTTTTTTTTTTTAGGAATAACTGGTCATCCAACTTTGACAATTTCTCTATATTGTTAAGGTGAGGTGACCTTACTTTTAGCATCACTTTACGCAGACATAACCTAGCAATCTTATCACTTATACGATTTCTAAATAACTATGGCATTTTCTGTTTTAGGGAAAAATCCACCATAGTATCCTTTAATTGTAGGAGATTGATTATGCCTGAGAAGAGGGTAGCTCTACTACATGAATTTACGAAGGTGGGTCCTCAAGTAGTTTTCCTGCAGGAAACCCACTTTCGTGAAAATCATATCCCTAAACTGATACACAAACATTGTACCCAGGATTTTCATGCTACCAACAAAACTACTAAAACTAATTGAGTTTTAACCTAATAAATAAAGCAGTGTCATTCACCTTGACTCAACAGTTAACAGATCCAGGGGGTAGATATCTATTTCTAAAAGGCACTCTAGCAGGCCGCACGGTCACAGTGGCCAATGTGTTTTTCCCAAATAATTTGCATGTCTCTTTTTGTAAAACTATAGTAGATGAGCTGAAATGCTTCTCCTCGGGGTGTATTATCTTAGGCTGAGATTTTAATGTACCGTTAGATGCTCTGATTGATACCTCCACTGGCACACCTAGTGTACGATTTAGGGTTCTTCAAATAACTAAAATTACAACGCTCATTAACACTGGTTGATACCTGGAGAACGTTACACCCTGAGGATAAGGACTACACATGCTACTTGGCCCCACATAATAAATACCCCCGTATAGATTATGTCTTTTTGTCACAGCGCGATTTACCGAACTTACAGGCAGCCAATGTTGAGATCCAGTCTACTTCGGATCATGCCCCTATTTCCATAAGTTTGGTTCCAGTGACACTTTAATCCAAAAAAGCCTTTATTTGGTGATTGAACCCTACTTTACTGATAGACATAGAGACCCAGCAGCATATACTGGGGGAGCTCACTTACTTTTTCTTCGTGAACTCCGCGGTGGATGTTGCACCCCTAACGATTTGGGAAGCACATAAATGCACACCTAGAGGTGAATTTACTAAATTGGGAGCCAGGCATAAGAAAGAAAGAAAGAGAATGACAGCTTGCAAATATTTTCAACAAAACTGTATCTTTTGAAGCACAACACAAATACGCCTTGACAACCCAGGTGGAGACCAAATTTAAAGACACAAGTAAACTCCTACTTTTAGATATGACTGCAAAACATATCTTGTTTTCGCGAAAAGGTGTTTAATATGAATATGGAGACAAAAGTGGCAAATTTCTTGCTAGGGCTTTGAAAGACATTCAGTTTGCTAATAATATTCATGGCATTAGAAACAAAGAGGGTAAACTGGATCATACCACGGAACATATCGCTAACCACTTTCAAGCATTCTATTCACATTTATATAACCTTTAGCCACAACACAAACCTTCTGGTTTGCAGGGCTCTAGGGAGCATATTCTCAAGGAATACTTAATTAATAGTAAGATGCCTACCCTGACTGTTGAGGAGATTGAAGATTTGGAGCAATCTATATTTGAGGAAGAATTATTGCTAGCTATTAAAATATTGAAGTCAGGCAACAGTCCGGGTCCTGACGGATTCACAGCACAATATTATAAACTTTTTCAGGAAATTTTGAAGGCACCTCTTCTACAGGCCTTCCACTCCCTCAGCGAATCCCAGGATATTCCCAACTCATTCTCCTCAGCACACATTACCGTTATCCCGAAACCAGACAAAGATGCAACTGATTGCTCGAGCTATAGACCAAAATATAGACTTAAAATTGCTAGCAAAAATCTTAGCCAACCGTCTTGGAACTTTGTTGTCTAAACTAATAGGTCCTGAGCAAGTAAGTTTTATGCCTGGCACGAAAGCAAAAGACAATGTAATCAAAGCTGTAAATATGGTGTACAAGATGGGTTTGGATACAGTTGAGGGTCTTCTCTTTCATTGATGCCGAGAAGGCCTTCGACAGAGTGGCCTGGGACTATATGTTCACCACATGCACACATGTTGGCCTGGACTCTAAAATGATCTCTTGGATTTCTTCTCAATATTGCAATCCGTCTGCTCAAATTAAGGTTAATGGCTTGCTATCGGGACTGATAGTAATATCTAATGGTACTAGACAAGGCTGCCCATTTATCACCTTTTTTGTTTTAACGTTGGAATCCTTTATACGCACAGTGAATCTCAATCCTTCTATCCGTGGCCATGTAATTCAGAACAGAGAGTTTAAAGTAGCAGCATACGCTGACGATATTCTTTTTTTAACTATCATCTGTTAGATGTTTTCCATGATTTCGGGTATGTTTCCAATTTAAAAATAAATTACTACAAATCTGAGGCTTTAAATATCTCACTCCCAGCTCCGAAACTAATTGATATTCAACTCATCTGCCCTTTTAAATGGGTAGCCAAGGCTTTAAAATATCGTGGAGTGTGGATGTCACGTACCTGATTGGAGACTAAAATGATGAGGTCGGCCTCACTTGTGTCACTAGCCCTGACCCCACTGGAAGTGGAACAGAGGGTGTCTAGGGACCAGGGGGACAAGAGGGCCAGCAGATGTTGTTTGCAGCTCTTGCAGCTGGAGATTTTGGAAGACTGATGAACCTCCGATTCAGGAACAGTAGTGATATGCCGAGCTGATATGGTAGGTTGCCAGGTGTGCACCAGCGCAAGGCAGGAAGCTTGGATGGGAGACAGGAGCAATGTCATAGGAATGGGTGTGGACAGCGAGGTAATGGTTAAAGTATATACTGTTTTTAACTAATGTCCAGGCCTAAAATAGGTATTTTAACATGTATACAAAAAAACTGCTTTGGAAACAAAAGGATTTTTTTGCCCCACAAGTATGCTATGTATACATGGCTGGATCTAAGGGGGTGCTAGGGTGGGCTGCGACCCACAGATTTTGGTTGTGACTGCTGAGCTCCCCCCCCCCCCATCCCCACACTCAGATCCGGGACAAGGAAAAGGAAGCCTGGAGCAGTTAAGTCCAGAAAAGTGACAAAAGAGAGAGAGAGCAAGTAGGAGCACAGGATTGCTCCATCCATTGGGATGTACACAGTTTCATTACCTGTCCCAATTTACTGCAAGAACCACTTATCTCCCACAGCAGGAAATGTGGGATATAAGTGATATAGTGATATGCAGAGCTGGTATGGTAGGTCGCCAGGTGTGCACCAGAGCAAGGCAGGAAGCTGGGATGGGAGACAGGTACAATGTCATAGGAATAGCCGGGGTCATCAACGGGCGGACAGCGAGGTACCAAATCATAAGCAAGCCAAAGTCAGGAGCAGAGTCGAAGTCAGGAACAAGTATCAAGCAGGAGAGTAATCAAGAGTCAGGTCAGTAGCAAGCTGGATCAGCAACAAGGAAATCACACAGGAACGAGCAGGAAATGGGGAACAGCTGAAGACCATTTGGCACTCAGCACAGGCAGAGGCACCTTTTAAATAGTCCATCTGGCGCCAATCTTCACCGTGCGTGTACACATGCGCTTGCATGTGCACAATCACGCATTTCTGTGTGCATGCACACTTCTATTCACCAATCGTCTCACTGGGATTTCCTTACATTGCCCCCCCCCTTAGGGGCAGCCTCCGGATGCCTACTAAAGCTTGTTTTTCAGGATGAAGATGAAGGTAAGCTCAAACTAATCGTGGGGCATGGACATTAGTGGATGGTTCCCAGGAATTATCCTCTGGACCGTAGCCTTTCCATTTGATGAGGAACTGGGTCTGACCACCCCTCTTTCTACAATCCAGGATAGCCTCCACCTCATATTCTTCATTACCTTCGACCAGCAGTAGAGCAGGAGTTTCTGGATCTCAATCCGGAAATAAACTTGGTATTGTTGGTTTTAATAGTTTAATAGAGACATGGAATACCGGATGGATCTTCATATTCTTTGGTAGTATTAATTCAAAAGCCACAGGGTTAATCCTTCTCTTAATTGTAAATGGTCCCAGGTACCTCGGACCAAGCTTCTTTGAAGGACAGCTCAATTACAGATTTGTAGTAGACAACCAGACCTTATCTCCTTGTTTCAGATTTAGATTCCCCTCCTTTTTTCTGTCAAAAATGTTTTTGTTACTTGCTTGAGCCTCCAAAATAGTTTTTTGTACCATTTGGCCGTTCCTACTGAGGAAATCCAAACTTTCTTGTACTTCCAGGACAGCGTGTTCCACCGGCATTTCAGGGAGGAAGGAAGGATGATATCCATAGTTGGAGTATAAAAGGGACTGTTTAGTAGAAGAGTGGATGGAATTGTTATATGAAAATTCTGCCAATGGAAGGAGAGACACCCAGTCATCCTGTGAATAAGATGAGAAACATCCTAAGTATTGTTCAAGGGTCTGGTTTGTCCTCTCAGTTTGTCCATTTGTTTGCAGATGATACACAGAAGAAAAGCAAAGTTCAATCTCTAGTGCCTCACACAGAGCTTTCCAGAACTTAGAAGTGAACTGCACTCATTGATCGGACACGATATTGCTCGGAACACCATGTAATCTCACTATTTCTTTAATAAAAGCAGAAGCAGTCTCAACAGCAGAAGGAGTCCTTCTCAGGGGAATGAAGTGGGCCATTTTTGACAGACGATCAATCACGTCAAAGATGGTGGTGAACCTTTCAGATGGGGGAAGCTCTACAATAAAATCCAGAGAAATCATACTCCATGGCTTTTTAGGTACTGGCAGAGATTCCAACAGGCCCCAGGTTTTGGCTTTATCAGACTTGTTTTGGAGATATACTGAGCAAGATCTAACATAGTTCTTACAATCCTTCATTAAATGTGGCCACCAGAAGGAATGGGAGACCAAATTTGAGGTCTTTTGGATCCCGAAGTGACCAGCTAAAGGATGATCATGACATCTTTTAAGAATGAGAGTTCTGAGTTGTTCTGGTATATAAAATCTGTTCTTGGTGAAGATACGACCTTCTCTTAGCTGTAGATGCATTTCCAAGGGGGGTGGATGATCATCAACTACGTCTTTTATTTGTGCTACAAGATCTGTTTGTAGGAGTAAAAAATGTTTAGTTGGCAGGATCGTATCAGGTTTGGATGGTACAATTGGGTCATGAAACATGCGTGAGAGCATATTGGGCTTGCTGTTCTTTGATCCTTGATGGTATGTCAAGTGAAACACAAAAGCGGGAGAAGAACAGTGCCCATCTTGCTGGCCGTGGCTGGCGTTTACAGTTCTCAAGTACTCTAGATTCTTGTGATCCGTAAAGATGAGGATAGGGTAGAAAGCTCCCTGCAGTGCCATTCCTCAAGGGCCAATTTGATGGCTAACAGCTCCCTGTCTCCCACATCATAGTTCCTTTCAGGGGAGCTTAACTTTCTTGAGAAGAAGGCAACAGGGTGAAGGAGGGATTTGAGTCACTGTCGTTGCGACAATATGGTTCCAACAGCATCTTCAGCATCTTCAGAAGCATTTACTTCAAGGACATAAGCTAAGGCAGGATCTGGGTGCTTCAGGATAGGAGCAGAGGTGAATAAGATCTTTAATTGTTCAAACGCTGCTTGAGCTCTGGGAGTCCACTTGAAAGCAACATGTTGCCTAGTTAACTGCGTGACTGGTGCAATGATACCTGAAAAGTTCTTAATTAATTTCCTATAGAAATTGGCAATCCCACAAAGCGTTGTACCACTTTCCTTTTTCTTGAAATGGACCATTCTAATACAGAGGTCACCTTTTGGGGATCCATAGCAATGCCATCGGGAGTGATCACAAGTCCAAGGAACTGAATAGTCTGTTTCTCGAATTCACACTTTTCAGCTTTGGCATAGAGGTGATATTGGCGTAATCTACCCAGTATCTTCTTTACATAATTCTGTTGTCGTTCAATTGAGCTGGAAGAGACTAGGATGTCATCCAAGTAAACGATGATAAATAGATCAAGATAGTCCTGGAATATATTGTTAACGAAGTGTTGGAATGTTGCTGGGGCATTACAGAGGCCAAATGGTATCACCAGATATTCAAAATGCCCAAAGCATGTTTGAAAGGCTGTCTTCCATTCATCATTCCCTTCATGAATTCTGACTAAATTATATGCACCTCTCAGATCTAATTTTGAAAAGACACATGCTCCTCGTAGCCTTTGGAACAATTCAGGAATCAGGGGAAGAGGATAGCGGTTCTTGACTGTTATCTTATTCAGATCATGATAGTCCACACATGGTCTCAGAGTATGATCTTTCTTTTTGACAAAGAAGATGCCAGCTCCCGCTGGTGATGTCGAGGGCCAAATAAACCCTTTTTCCAGGCTTTCATCTATATAACTTCAGAGGACCTCTAGTTCCAATTTGGAGAGGGGGTAAATTCGCCCAAAAGGAATTTCAGCACCGGGCAGAAGTCCAATAGGACAATCGCAGGGCCGGTGCGGGAGAAGAGCACTGGCACTCTTCTTGTTGAATACATCCAAGTAGTCATGGTAAGCAGCAGGGACAAGTTTCATCATCTCTGAATCAGGATGGATACTAAGAAGAGGAGTCACTGCGCATGGTTCCTTTGGAATGCAATGGTTCTGACAGTATTCAGAAGGGAAGAGGATCTCCCCAGAAAGCGAATCGATGGATGGGTTGTGTGCCCTTAGCCAGGGCATGCCGAAGATGACTGGAAACATTGGTGAGGTTATGACATCCAGACATAGAAATTCCTGATGTCCTGAGGAGGAGTGGCAGACAATTGGCATAGTCTATTGTGTCAGTGGGCAAGAACTGATACCAGAGCCATCAGCCAGATGGACCGAAAATCTTTGTGTCTTAGTATCGAGAGGGATATTGTTTTGATTAGCGAAGGTCGAATCCATGAAGCAGCTACAGGCAGTCTATAATTGCTAGAACAGTAATAGTTCTTTCAGCAAGTTGTAAGTGAAGATGGAAGGAGAGGTGCGTGTGACTCGTTCCTTGGGGGTGCATCATATGGAACCAGCTAGGAGAAAGCTTATGAGGTCTCACTGGCCATGTCAGTACATAGTGACCTGCATCACCACAGTAGAGGCAAAGGTTGGAGTTTTGTTGTCGAAGACGTTCAGCAGAGGATAACGTTGGCCTCCAAAAGCTCCTACGAGGAGAATTATGAGGCCCTCTTTTGCTGTGGAGTATGTCTGATGTGACAGCAGTGGGTGAGGAGACAGGGGTCTCCATTTCTGAGCAGATCAAGACACCCTTGCTAGTTCTTTTATCCCGCCTTTCCTGGATCTGTCGATCGATTTGAATGGCAAGGTTAATCAGGTCCTCTAGCCTGGTTGGTACCCCAACTTGGGCAAGCTCATCTTTCAAGATGTAAGAGAGACCAAGGCTAAACTGATGGCGGAGAGCAGACTCGTTCCATTGAGTGTCAGAACTCCATATACAGAACTCAGTGACATATTCCTCTATAGGCCTTTGGCCTTGCTGTAGCTTGCTAAGCATATATTCTGCAGTCTGACGACGGAAGGGATCAGCGTAAAGTTGTGACATCGCTGAGAAAAAAAGAGTCCATAGAAGTCAGAGCCGGATCATGTTGCTCACGAAGGTGGTGTGCCCAGGACTGGGGTTCATTCTGAAGGAGTGAAATAATGAATCCCACTTTGGTGCTTTGTGATGCAAAGGTTCTTGGTAGCAGAGAAAAATATAGGTCACAGGAGTTACGAAAGGTTCGAAACTTGCTGCAGTCTATCTCACTCCCAGGTCCGAAACTAACTGATATTCAACTCATATGCCCTTTTAAATGGGTAGCCAAGGCTTTAAAATATCTTGGAGTGTGGATGTCACGTACCTGATTGGAGACTGAAATGATGAGGTCGGCCTCACTTGTGTCACTAGCCCTGACCCCACTGGAAGTGGAACAGAGGGTGTCTAGGGACCAGGGAGACAAGAGGGCCAGCAGATGTTGTTTGCAGCTCTTGCAGCTGGAGATTTTGGAAGACTGATGAACCTCTGATTCAGGAACAGTAGTGATATGCAGAGCTGGTATGGTAGGTTGCCAGGTGTGCACCAGCACAAGGCAGGAAGCTGGGATGGGAGGCAGGAGCAATGTCATAGGAATGGGTGGACAGCGAGGTAATGGTTAAAGTATATACTGTTTTTAAATAATGTCCAGGCCTAAAATAGGTATTTTAACATGTATACAAAAAAACTGCTTTGGAAACAAAAGGATTTTTTTGCCCCACAAGTATGCTATGTATACATGGCTGGATCTAAGGGGGTGCTAGGGTGGGCTGCGACCCACAGATTTTGGTTGTGACTGCTAAGCTCCTCCCCCCCATCCCCACACTCAGAGCTGGGACAAG